ACTCATCACCCCTTGCTAGTTATTGAAATAGCTTGCACGGTGTGTCACCAAAAGGAGCATGCAGACGTGCACCAAGATGTCCCTTCCACATTACTACAAACACGGTGCGGCCCCTAACAAGAACCACGGTGTCTGCGGGCGGTACTGGGTCGGTGTCGGTGGTACGGAAGCGGCGATCGGGCTGACAGTACCGTTATTTGACGAATGCTACCGGGGAATGCTGCTTCGCACTGAGCACACTGAAAGTCTGCAACGCCGCCGCTCCCAGCCGAAGTCGGCATTTAGCAGTAGGCTGGTGCTAATACGGGCTCCACTCTCCAGTTCTCCACTCCGCAGCTAGTTGGTTATCATGTTCGCGTCCAATATTGACGTGACGTGGCATTTTACTGGTTGATGCATTTACCGGTAGCGTTTGGCAAGAAGACTTGTAACATATGCGGGATATTCAGCAATGCCCTGAATCGTTCCCGCTCGTACTCATGGTGTCAGTGTTCGGTTCATTGAAAGGAATCTTCTGATCGCTGAATGCCCTACTTGCCTGACCAGTGTGTGTGATCCAGCACGGAGCAACATTTCAGCTGTGTTTCTTGGTCCGCTATCGTTCGTCATCCCACTGAGTGGCCGGGAGGGGCGCGCCGTGGGCGGGCCTGGTGCGCGCGCCTGGCCGGCGGTGGACGCCAGCCGAGCTGTGAAGGCGTTCCGACTGGCCGGAGTCGGAGGGCGGCTGGATGGCGATGACCTCGCTCATACGTTCCGCGTCATGACCGCAGCACTTTGGCCGCCGGCCCCAGCTCGGGGTAATTGTATCGAGCCGTAAAACTCGTGTTAAATTGAGCACGCCCAGAGGCAGGGCCCATGTAAAGCGCTTCTCGGAACCGGTTTATTAAGTGTAATAGGCATGATATACGAGCGACGAATGTAGGCTGGAGGCCCCGTATCCGAAATAGCAGAACCCCTTTGAAGCGATGCATATGCAGTTTGGCGGCTGACCAGGCGAGAGATGGCGGCGAGCGCCGGCGCCGGCGGCGACGCTGCGTTTCGCCGGAGCTGCGGCCGTGCCTGACAGCCGTGCTGTCAGCTTGTTCAGTCGGACTTGTGGCCGGGTGTGGCTGTCGCGATAGCGGCCGAGCCGGCGGCCTGATGTCGAACGTGGCGGCCGCTGCTGCCGGCCGGCCGTGGCGACCCTGGGTCCGGCGCCCGCGACAGATACATGGCCGAGGGGCCCGGCCCCCGCGACGGCGGACGATGTCGAGTCGCGGTTCTTGTGACGGCGGAAGACATGTTGTCTCGGCTCGTCTGCAGGCTCGTGGTGGTCGGCCCCGCTTCTCGCCGTAATTATGTGACGGACGGGCGTCTGTGCTGTCGCGGGACGTGTGACATACACCCGACCGACTCACGTCTGCACCGCCGGCGGCCGGCCGCCGCTGCAGCCCTGGCGTCGGAGGTCTGGCGGCGGTCTGGCGGCGGCGGCGGCGGCGGTCTGGCGCGCGGTGACCGGCCCCAGGCGCGTCCCCCGGGCCGATTACCCGGCCGCCGGCCGCCATCTCCACCTGCCAGCCGCTCCGCCTGGCGTCCCGGTGGCCCTCGGCGCCGCCTAATGCGGTTAGCGGGCCGTGCCGCCGGCCGCCGCACTATCGACTCGTCGAGCAGCCCGCGCCGACTCATAATGGCTCCTGCGAGCACTGACAAAAGGTTTATTGCGCCTATAATGATAAAATGTTTACACAGGACGCAGCAAAGGCTGTTTTGAAATATGGTTCGGCGGTATTTGTGTGGGCGCTCGTTAGGGCTATTGATTTCCAGCAGTGCCGCTTGCGTTTGTTTACCGACGGTCGTCGCGCTGTGACCACGCGGTTTGATAGCGTGAGTGGGTACTTGACGTTCTCATACCACGGCGCTGTGACTGTCGCTGACGCCGGGGTGGCCGGACGGTGTTGGACGATGGCCGATGGCCGATGGACGCGGCGGTGACATGTGACGTCACCTGGCTGCCTCGGTCGCGCAACGCGCTCAGACAGGCTCCGCCCAGTTCACCCCGAGCGTGCCAATGTTGGCGAAGTGTTGGTTCCGCCGGCCGTGGCCCGGGTGAGGCCCGGCTTTGGGCCCGGGCGTCTGAACACCGGGTGCGGCCGCATCGGTCGCCGTCGTGACCCGGGGATGGCTTGCGGCACCAGCGGTCGCCCTGCCGAACAAGGGAAATGCGGTCCGCTAGGTCTACCCCCTCCCGCCGCCAGTGCATTAAGTTCAGCTCTCTTCACTTTGGATCTGACTGACGCAACATCCGCGAGGTGTCCGGTTGACGCCGCCGCTAAGGGCAGGTGTGGTGACGTGAAGCTCCGTCAGCAGCCGTCGGCTGATGCAGCGGCGCGCTGGTGACGCGGCGCCTGGCGCGCGCCCTGCAGCCTCGCAGACCGCCACCTGTCTGATGAAGCGGCGCGCTGGTGACGCGGCGCTTCGCTTGCGCCCGCTACGGCCTCGCAGACCGCCACCTGTCTGATGAAGCGGCGCGCTGGTGACGCGGCGCCTCGCTTGCGCCCGCTGCGGCCTCGCAGACCGCCACTTGTTTGATGCAGCGGCGCGCTGGTGACGCGGCGCCTCGCTTGCGCCCGCTGCGGCCTCGCAGACCGCCACTTGTTTGATGCAGCGGCGCGCTGGTGACGCGGCGCCTCGCTTGCGCCCTCTGCGGCCCCGCAGACCGCCACCTGTCTGATGGGCAGCGGCCTCGGCAGGCGCTGGACCGTCGCCCGGCCGCCCCTTTCTGCGGATCACCGCCGCGATGCGCGCTGGGGTCTTGCTGACGGCCACTCCATCTGCCCGAGGACGGCCAGTCGAGCCCGAAGCGTTTGATCGCAACGCACGCCCAGCGTCGATCAGCAAGATCCCGCCACCGTTAAGGGTTAATTACTATCGGCCAAGCGAGATGCTGTTCGGATGGCCCCCTGCTTCGCTTCATTACTTTACTCCGCAAGCCGCGCAGCATGGCTTCCTTGAGGTACTTCTGGCTACGCGATGTGGCGATGTGGTAGGTAATGATGGGGTGGCTAGCAGCAACGTCTCAAAATGCCGCCAGCACGACGGTGGGATGAGTGGCATAGGGCTGATATTAGGGTATTTCCTCGGCCGTAGCTTTCCTCTTCCTGTTCATCTCTTGTTTACTGTTAGTGTCGTGTTGTCAATTAGTCAACCGTAGCATGTAATAATCTTGGCTTTATCAAATTCACAGGAAGCGAGTGAAACATGGTTATGTGCCTTGGAAGCCACGACTTCGAATTATTCACGTTCGGGACATATCTTGGGCTGGGGCTCACAATCCGCCTAAGGTGTCTTCTGTTTTTGTGTATGTATATTTGTGCGCACTGCTGAAATATACATATATAAGTGAGAGACGCGGCAGGGCTATTAAGGAAAGCTTTGAAGCTGGACATTATCACCTGTGTTTCAAGCCTTCTTGCCGACCGACAGCCGACGGTGGTGCCGTCCCAGTCCGAAACGGTTGGCTGTGTGGGTGCCCGGCACAAGTGGCGTTCTTCGCATGATTTTGGCGTTTCAAATGTCATTACTTTGATATGTTTGAAACGGTGTTCTTGGGCAGAACGCCCTCGGAACGCGACCATAGCAGCAAACAAGCTGAGGAGATGGCACACGAGGGCTGTTGTGTTGTGTGCTCGTCTGTAGACAGATCACGTGTTGGGGCTGCTGCCACTCACTCCACTCGGCATGCACGACTGGAGCGCTAGTACTACTTCAAGCAGCCGCTGGCCGTCGGAGTTGGCGGGCCCGAGCGCCGGAGCCCCGGGGTGGTCTCTGAGCACGGCTGGAGCACTAGTGCTACGTCAAGCAGCCGCTGGCCGTCAGAGTCGGCGGGACCGAGCGCCGGGGCGCCCGGGTAGTCTCTGAGTACGGCAAGTCCGACCACCGGCCACGGCGTCCTGTGCACGGCGGCATGTGTGAAATTCATGCCCTGGCGACGGTCAGCAACAACGCAGTCGGGGATCCCAAGCCGTGGCCGAGCAGCGTCGTCGTTCTCGTTGGGCCCCGGGCCCCGCGGTGGGTGTCGCTACTCGCGCGGAAGCGACGGCCGGTGCGGGGTGGTAGGTCTCCCCCCCCCCCCTGGGTCTGTGTTCCCTGTGCCGGGCGGTCGACGGCCGCCCACTGCTGACGGCACGCGGTCGGCGCTCTCGACCGACGCCTCCGCCTGTCGGCCGTGGGGCCGGACCTGTTCTCGAGGCCCATGACCTCGTGTGGGTCCGCGCGTGCCGGCTTGCAGTTCCTCCGCGGAAAATAATGTGAAAACGTGCTGATTTAACGAAGCAGGATGTCCAGTTGGGACTCATGCTTTTGTAGAGGCCAAGAAATGGGGAAATACTTCCGATTTACGTGAAGATTGCTTGGCGCATGTATTTTCTTTAGCGGGTGCGGGGATTTCTGGGGATAGACCAGAAGCGCCTCGCAGCTAAAATCTTTCCTGCTTGCCTATTCGCTTGGCGCTCCGTTTTCCTTTCGTCGGCTGTTACAGCGCCATCCGTCTTCCGCACGGTTCGCTTTCATTCGTAATGGATCGCTCCTCACTCTCTGGCACACGCGCTTCCACGGTTAAAGCCTAGTTTTTGTTTCGCATTACGCGGCGAAGGCCGGTGCCATCGCGGCTTTGGCGGCGACGGTCCGGCTCCGGCGCGGGCAGACGGGGCGGGCAGCGACGCGTGGACGTCGTCAGGTGTGCGGCGTAACCGCCTCCGATCGTCGGCGGCGACGCGTCCCGATGGCAGACCGATAGCCGCTGTCGCCGCGCCAATGACAGTCATTACCGGCGCACCCGGGGACGCTCTGTCAACGCGCCCTGTCCAGCCGGAGGAGGCGGCGCGAAGCTACTTCCAGTTGACCATCGATTTTGGACGTTACACCGGCCGTGCGGGCATTGCGCACGAGTCGGCGTCGGTGGCGCGGCGCGGCGGTGTGCGGGGCGCCACGTCGGCTGGCGCTCCGGCAGTGCGTCTCCGAAGGTGCCGAGGGGCGCACGACCGACCTGCCAGTCCGGGCCGCGCATGTGACTGTGCCCCGTCGGTCGTCTCTGCCGCCGCCGCACCCGCCCGCCCGCCAAGCTGGAGGCCCACGCCCCCTTCCACGTCGTGTTCGGCAAGCAGGGCGGCCAGTTCGCCGCCGCCAAGCTCGACTCGGACCCGTACGTGCGGGCCAGCCTGGAGCGCCAGCACCTGACGGCCATGCTCGCCGCCATGCCGACGCTGATGATGCCCGGCGCGCCGACCATCACCACCATGGCCAACCCGGCGCCCATCGCCGTGGCCCAGCACAAAATGGAGAGCTCGCCGCAGCTGAAGAGCTGCTCCTCCAATAAGTCAGGTAGGCGGTCGGCCGGCGGGGGAGCGGCGCGCGGGGCGCCGGCCGGCTCGGTGGCTCTCGTGCTAGCTACTCCGCGCCCCACTCACCACGGAGCGTGCCTCGAGCCGGCGGCGAGCGAGCGGCCGGGTCGCTACGGACGGCTGGCAGCCGATCAGCTTGGCACTGGCGTGTGCTCTTCGGCGCTCGAATTCCGCCGTGCAGCTCCGGGCACTCACAAGCCGATAAGTACTGCGAGGTAGTTCAGATGTCGTGCTGACTCAGCAATGGTTCATAGGCGACCTAAAATTGCTTGTTAAAAAGGACGGGAAAGCACTCGTGATCATTATTTTTTATTGCGCAGCTACGAACATACTCCCCACGCCCAGAAGGGCGGATGATGCATGTGTTTTTCCCAAAATATCAGTGCTCCTACGTTTTTTTACTGACGCTTAAGTCTGCTGCTGCTGTTGTGCCTATTGAAGGTATTGCGCTGCATACCAGTTGGGTGTAGCGATACAGTTGGCTTGCGTAAAAAAGGTTATTGTGTCAGGTTCGTCTGCGCTGGGTAAAGTTTGCTGCTAGGGTGCGCTTGAGAGGCACGCAAGGCAGCATTATTCGTCTTCCACTCTCCACTCCTTGGGCGGACAGACAAACTCACAGCGGGCGGGTACAGCACGACCCGATCCAATGTGGCCACTCCCAGGCTGATCATGCGACGCGGCCGTGATGGCGTGCGCTCGAGGACGCGCACCGCTCCGAGCGGACAGCACCTGCCGAAGCGGGTTCGATAGGCTCAGCGCGCTCCCTGTCCTCTCCCCGGCCGGATTGGGCTCCTGCTGGCAGTGGTACGTCGGCCTACGTCGGCCCGGTCAGAGTCGAGCTCTCGGCACCGAGCGACCGGCGTGCTTCACGTCCTTTGCGCCCAATTTTTTCAATGGCGATGGAGAAAGCCGGGAAGTCACCAGAGGATGCTCTCGCACTGGGGTGGTTTGCTGGTGACAGCGGATGGCTCTGTGGCTCCGATCCGGCTGTGTCGCGGCGGTCTCAGGAAACAATCAGAAAGATCGTCTCTCTGGTAAGCCTTAGATCCACGCTGTCGCCATTGATGTAAGGCTTAGCTGTTACTCTGTCATCGAGCCCGGCACCACATGTCACCGTCCGCCGTTGCGTGATCAACTCATCATTGCCTCTGCGGAGGTCGCCAGCCACAAAGAAAAGCAGGTGGCGATTATCGCCTTTTCGGAAGTCAGCCAACAGATAATAGAGCCGGTGACTGATATTTGATTTCTTCGTCTTTCTGCAACCTCTCTGCCTCCCTCCCTCGTGGGTCGGTGGCGGTCTGTTGAGGGCGATAGTGACCGCCCTCTGCCCCGATCGACTGCAGTCGGCCGGCCCTCAGAGTCTCCCCGCTGCGGACGCCGGCCGGCAGCCGTAGCAGAACCCCTCCCTTGCGCCCTGCGTGAGGCGTCGCGCCGCCTGCGGGCCTCCCCCCTGGCGCAGTTTCAGCGGTGACTCCGGTGGATCTGTGACGCGCGGACGTGCGGACGGGCCGCGCCGAGTATTGACCAAGCTCTGTGCTGCCATGCAGAGTCCCGCGCTGCATAGGAATTATTTGGCTCACAGTCCGGGTAACTTACGGTGTCAGTATCATGCAGAATTATACCCTCGGGCGTTACTGTTCCGTTTGCCGAGAGGCTGACAGGAGCCGGCCTCCCCGCGGACGGCTGGCGCCTTCTGAAGAATTCCGAGCGGCCCATACATCACGCCCGGCGCGTTCGCGGCGCACCAGCTCTGTCGTCGGATGACGCGGCGTGTTTCCGCGCGCTGCGGTCGGCGCAGACAGGCCATGTTTTCCCGGTTGGAGCGGCGCGATACTAATTCGACTATTTCACCGGCTGCCAGAGGCGTAATTGCGCCGGGCGGCAGCGGCTCTGTTTGTGATGCGCCGGCCGCCGGCGCGCCGCGTGCCGCTGCCGCCGGCACTCCGCCGCTCCGCCTCTCCGACTCTCCGCCACTCCGCCCCTGCGCGGCGTGGCACCTCTGGCCCCTTCGACTCCGAGCGGCGGAGGGTCGGCAGCCGTCCGGTCACCGCCGGCGTGCCTCATGAGTCAGGCGGCAGGGACGCTGGCGCTGACTGCGGCGCGCTGGTCACCCATGCCCGCCCTGGTCGAGCCCTCCGGAACGGCGCATGACCGGCCGTGGTCGAGCCTCCCGCCGACCGTGACCGGTGTACGACCGACCGTCGTCGAGATCTCCTCCGACCGTGACCGGTGTATGACCGGCCGTGGTCGAGCCGGCGCTCCGAGCCGTCGGGGGCGCCCTCGCCGTGACCGCGGTCCATGCGGCACTGTAGCCTCGCTTCAACTCAAGTCGAAAGCCCTGCATTGTGGTTTGTGGGGTAACTCGTTGTTTGCTGTCCGATTTTCGTCTGACACGTTCTCAAAAGTCGGGCGGGGCCTGCTGTTAGCTTTTTAAATGCGATGTGATCGAGCCCAAGCTGCAACAATTGTCGGAAAGGACGAAGGGCTTGACAGCAAGCTCGGCTCCGATAGGAAACTGCACGGCTGTAGCGATTCGTTCCACGTCTGATGCTTCTAATGACTGCAACGGTTGCATCAACGTTCGGTGTCATATCGTAGTTAGGCTGGTGGACTGAAGCGCGCTCTGAAGAGTTAGATGCTGTCTGTCAATGGGACACCTTGCTGTCAACCTCATTCAAAAGCCGGGAAGCCAATCGCCTTTCCCGCGTTTGCCGATGGTTCCGGACGTTGCACGTGTGCCTGGTGATGACTTTTTCAGTAGCAGTCCCGATGCTAAAGGCACAATTTATGGCGTTTCACTGCTGAGAGCCAGAAGCACTGGACCACTTTTGTAAGAGAAACATCACAAATATTACTCAGGCCTTAAATCGGGCGAGTGGAGATGGAAGCAATTTATTTTGCTATCACAGAGTGCTCGAACTATCAAAGGAGTAGCAAAGTGCGCTTGAAGTTCGAAAAGACACTCGAGGCCGGTGAACCGATTAGGAAAATTGAGCGGAGGTTCTTTGGCTGTTATGCTTTTTGTTTAGCTATATGTGTATTCTACCACTGTGTGGTAAGCATTCTCATTTCTCCCCAAATAGAAGAGGCCGACATCTCTTCTCGAAACAAAAAAAATTATATCACAAGTGGCCAGGAGCGATTTATAGGAGTTCCTGTTCGTTCGAGACCCGGGGTTGATAGCTCCACGCCTGGTCACGGTTAGTGTTGTCAGCGCGTGATCAGGTGCGATTTGCGGCGAATTAAACGTTGGTGTCACTGGTATTTTGTTACGCTGCCGGCCGGTGTTTGGTTTGCACAGTTGTCGGGTGTGCAAGCTGTAAATGGGTGGCGCCAGCGGCTGATGACTAGGTTGGGCGGTGGAGGGGGGGGGGGAGGGGTGCTTTGGTGTTCCTTTCATTGAAATCTTGATTTCCGTGGAACGCCTTAAGTGCGGTGTGTCCGATTACTGGAAGGTGCCTGTACCCGTGGCGCCCGTTGCTGATAGATGCCCCGTGCAGTCTGTGACTGGCCGGCTTCCCGTGCTTGCTAGACACTCGCCTGCGCCTGAGCGAGCAGTCTGTGACTGTGGCCGGCTTCCCGTGCTTGCTAGACACTCGCCTGCGCCTAAGCGAGCAGTCTGTGACTGTGGCCAGCCTCCCGTGCTTGCTAGACACTCGCATGCGCCTGAGCAGGCAGTCTGTGACTGTGGCCAGCCTCCCGTGCTTGCTAGACACTCGCCTGCGCCTGAGCAAGCAGTCTGTGACTGTGGCCAGTCTCCCGTGCTTGCTAGACACTCGCCTGCGCCTGAGCAAGCAGTCTGTGACTGTGGCCGGCTTCCCGTGCTTGCTAGACACTCGCCTGCGCCTGAGCAAGCAGTCTGTGACTGTGGCCGGCCTCCCGTGCTTGCCGGACACTCGCCTGCGCCTGAGCGAGCAGTCTGTGACTGTGGCCAGCCTCCCGTGCTTGCCGGACACTCGCCTGCGTCTGAGCACATCGTGACCGACACTCCGAACTGCACGGAGCGCGGCAAAGTTACTCAGCTCCCGGTAACAAATCCAATGGCCGTCAGCAGTTGGAGCCGTCTCGTGAATATTAAATATCATAAGTTAGCAAATCAACTGCAAGGTGGCATCACGCAAAGATGTTGCATTTCGAGGCTCCTCACCCGTGCGTGACTCGGTGACGTTGCTCTGGAGCGTAAGATATTTCTCTGAAGTAAAGTGCAGTAGCATGACACAAATTTCAGGCTAATAAGTATTGCATAAACCGACGTTGGTTGTCAATTTTGAATGGAGATGCACTTTTTGGTGTCAGGCACCGTTACTTGTTCCCCAATTTCTGGCCAATAAGTTAGTATCTTGGCGACCAGGGCGTGTTAAGTCATGAACACCGCCCAGGGGAGGCAAAGGTTATCCAAACGGGCCTTGTGTCGTTTCCTGCCGCCATCGACGAGCCGGTGGATTAAATTGTTTAGCCTAGAGCGAGCAGTCCCGACCCTTCCCCTGGGTGCAGGTTTGTGCCCCCCCCCCCCCTTCCCAAGCATGGCCTAGCGCTCCTTGGCGTCGAAGGCCGGCGATGTCCTTGCGTTTCTGTGTAGGGGCCTATGCTGAGCGGAACCATGGGGGCTTGTAACATTATTCAGGAGCGCTACTTTGGCACTAAGTGGAATTATTCAGGTGAGTAGGCTGAGTTGTTCTGCAGAATGGTACAACTTTCCTCTTCATTGTATTGTTTATTATTCCGTGCAGGGAACTTCCCAATCTGTCACTTAGTGCCTTGGTAACATACGTATCTTTCTGGAGAGGGTCTTGAACTAAACTTTGAACGTGTGGAATACAGAGTCGGCGCGAATTAATTCATGATGCTGTCAGACTGAGCACGCCGTAACAGTCAAAATTTTCAGCGTTAATGTTACAGCATGCTGTTAAAAGTTTACGTTTCATTATCTAATGCACCATGCCCTTGACTGCCTCCGGTTGGCATCAGTGATCGATGTCA